GTTGCCGCGGCACGACAAACGCCTGCCCGTGATATCGTCGGATCAGCCGAGATGTCCAGACCTGATCAACTGATCGGCCCGACTACCAGATACAGGACGGACTCTTGTACCGGCACATCCTCCACGACCTGAACTTCCGGGAGATGCCCGCCGACAAGCAATGGAAACGATGCGTCCCGACATCCGAGCGTGCCGCCCTGCTTAAACGATGGCACGATGACCTCGCATCCAGACACTTGGGGACCGCTAAAACCATAGCTCGCATCGCCCAGCAGTACTACTAGCCGGGAATGCTTCGGAAAATCGCACGATACGTCCGCATCTGCGCAACCTGTCTGGCCAACAGCGACCCGCCAGGATCCTCCACACTATCCCAGTCATCGCGCTGTGGCAGCAGATCTGTATCGACCTGATCGCTGCCACTCCAACCACGGACACACGGCTCCTTACGATGCAGGACCGATTTACGAAGTGGCTCGTGGCTCACGCCATTACGGAAGGCCACTGCAGCAAATGTCACCAGGGCCTTCACCGACCAGATCGTGTACCGCCATGTCCACAGTGGGTAATCTCAGATAACGGGACGCAACTAAAGTCCAAGCAACTAAGGAAGCTGCTGACTGCCTTCGGCATCCAACATTGTACCGCGCCGCCATACACGCCGCGCCATGCACACCAGTGTAATCCGATCGAGCGGACCAATTGGACTGTCAAGACCATGACCGCTCAATACGTGGGCCGGAATCAGAAGACGTGGGACGAGCACATCGCCCTCCAATATGCCTTCAACACGGCCTGGAGCGAGGTCACTGGGCATCCCTGTCTACCTCAACCATGGCAAGGAACTCGCCAGACCTCATCTAGAGGATCGATGGCGCCCGAAACGACGATTGCAAGAGGGTTACGAGCTCATGAGGGTGAGCTTGGCTCGTACCTTCCAACATCAGGAACGGTATTATAACCTGCGTCGGCGGGAATGGAAGCTAATAGTCGGAGAATTGGTGTGGAAGAGGAACCACGTCCTGTCCGACAAGGTCAAGGCGTTCAACGCCAAGCTGGCTCCAAAATTCGTGGAGTCCCTGGAAGTTCAGAGGATCATCTCGTCCGTCATCGTCGACTTACGGGACGCTCGCGGACGCTGGCACCGACATGTCCATGTGCAGGGCCTGAAGGTACACCCGAATCAAACCGCTAAGTAACCAGCCCCGGCAATCTGCGCCAGCACAACACCGACCAGCCAGTAAAGTCACAATTATTGATCGTGAGTATCCGCATACCCGAAACACGCGGACCACGACCGAGGGCGCCACCGGCCTAACAAATCGCGCCGAAAAAAAATTGTAAAAAAAAACAACGCGCGCCGCATTCCAGGCATTCCACGAATACGTATAAAAGGCCACGCACCGGACAACCAAAAATTAGTTAGTCCGCAGCAGCCACGATGCCGACAGAAGCTGAGCGATGACAGCTAGAGGAGCTGTTTGGGCATTGATCCGACGACAACCTCCCGAACCCGCCAAAAATCCACGCGGCGCAGCGGAGCGGGTGCCCGACCCACCCCGGCGACCACCCTCACGGGTGGGGACCGTGATCCAACGGTCCGACGCCGATTACAGGAGGAAGACTCTCCTCCTGTTGACCCCGCCGCCGCCGCCATCGAATCAACGGCGATTACAAGGATGGAGACCGCTGAGGTTCAGGACTCGGTTCGCCCCAGCTGCATGCGCAGCAGCACGGATCGCGATCACATCTGCGTCGAACGCATTAGCGTCAACCCCCCGGGTCAAGGCCAACGTTGCCGCGCACCCAAGCGCCGAAAGCCCCACCGCCAACAGCAAGTCGACTAACAACCCGGCCACTCCATGCGATGAGACCGCGTGCCCCAGGGCCAGTAAAGATGAGAGTCGCCGCAGGAACGGTGCTCCATGTGCCACACCGCGCGGTACACACCTCCCGGCAGTACCGCTAGTGAACCCCGGATGATCAATGGATCCTGCAGTTCAACGCCGACAGGACTTTCCGGAGCAGCCGCCTACGCCGAGCCGCCACCAGCCCCAGCATCAACATCGCTTAAGGAAGGATGATGTAACGACAGGGCCGTTACACTTGATATTAGAGAAATATATATATATATATATATATATATATATATATATATATAGATTCCTACCTCGGTTGTTTCCTTCGCTACTACTTGCTTCACGCTACTCGCTCGCCGGGCCCCCCGCCGATACCAACCCCTACCGGCCGGACCGACGGCGCATAGTGGGAACGCCGCCGGGTATATAAGGCTTAGGCCGGCCGAAACCATCGGGACCACGGATCCCCATCCTGCGATCCGACTCCTGACACCGACTTGATCAGTATTACCTACTAACCTACTACTTCTCGGAGCCAAGGTTTTACTTGGCTCTGCCGGGTTTTGCCGGCTTTCTCTACCTTCGGGCTGAGGTTTCGCTCAGCCCAATCGAGTTTCGCCGACTCCTGTCACCACTTCTCGGACTGAGGTTTCGCTCAGCTCCACCGGGTTTCGTCGGTTTCCGTTGCTACGGCAGGGCTCGACGTGACACTCGGCCTGCAAGCCATCCAACCTGACATTAGCTTATAAGTGCATGTAAATACCACGCGATAGAAATTAAGTCCGCTAGTTGTAACCGCGCCATAGGATTAAGCTAGTCATAAGCCCGTAGCTCTAAGTTCTTTCGTTGTAACCATGCCGTAGTCGCGTGTAATAAACGTTGTCGATCGCACGTCGCACCTGTCTTACGCTTCTCGCCGCCTTGCGTCTCCGCTCTGCGTCTCCGCTTTGCGTCTCATCTCCTGCTACCAGCGACACTGTGACATCTCCCGACCCTGCACTCTGTATCTACTTTTCTCTAAATAAACTATCTTCTCGCTGCAATCTGTGTTCGCATAAGCTTGAGTCTCCCCTCCTTTCGAACCCGGACACCGACGAGTCGATCCGAGCGTCAAGCGAAGTGACCGCGTTACAACTGGAAAAACGGAGACACTTGAAAGTGGGGGTTGACGTAACCAATCAGAAAACGCTATGGCTCTAGCATGATTTCCACTGCAGAAGTTCCGATCGTTCAAGCAACTTTGATAAGTATTTTATGTAAAATTAAATAGTTGGTCAACCATTAATAACACAGTAATTAATTAATTTAATAAATAAGAGGTACAACAAACTGACCTAATTTATCATATTTGTTATATATTAATATTACTATTAATTTGTATTCAAATTTTTAAACTTTGTAGCAATAACTTTAACGTAAATTTGTATTTTTTATTTTTTTATCGAGACGAAAGAAATTAATAATTTTTTAAACAGAGTTTAAAAGAAGAAAAGCTATATTAATATAAATTTTGTTTCAAATTATTTCGCTGATCAACGCAAGTTACGCTGCATGGAGAGCCAGCCTGCGGGTGCCGTCACATGCGGCGTAACTTGTGCCGACCAATCACATCGTTTTACTTGAACATCAGATTCCGCCTAGTTACTTTATGCTGTTTACGCTATTATTGTTATGCTGAATCTAATTTTTTTTTGTGTGGGAAGAAACACACACACACACACACACACACACACACACACACACACACACACACACACACACACACGAGAGAGAATAA